GGCTTGTTACGTTTAAAAGTTGACAAACTTATTGGTTGTGCTGCGGGGTTCAGTTCTTTAAACTCAGTGAAAGTTTGTTTGATTGGCCTGTCCAGAATTCTTCTTTCGCTCAAATCTTTCTTGATTCTCTTAGATGTTGGTAAATTTGTAGAGATATCAGGTCTTGTGTAAAAGTGTTCAATCCTTCTTTTTACACTATCGGAAACTGCATCAGATCTTCTTTTCCTCTCTTGCAAGTCTTTCTCTCTTCTAGTAAATTCAGATTCTTTGACTCCTATGTATTTCGATAATAATCTGTTCAATCTGTATTTCTTAAGAAATGAGAGGTTATGCAGGATCGTTTTTTTCACTTTCTTGTTTTCTCTGACAATCTTCTTGATGACATGGAATGAATGATCCATTAATTTTAATTTTTTTCTTGAGAGTGGACTGTTTGCAAATAAATTTCTCTTTGCCAGAGCTTCTTTCTTTTTAGGAGTTGCATTCTCCAATATATTTTCTACCATGTCTGCATAGTGTTCTCTATCTTTCGGTATGTGGTGTTGTTTTCTCCTCTTTGGTCCTGATGCTGGGTTTCTCTTTTTTTGACGATAATCGCGGTCTCTTTCTTTTAATCTTCTCTTTTTTTGACTGTTTTGTTTTTCTCTGGATTCCCTTTTCTTTAAGCGCCAATACATTCTTTTTTTTTCCCTTTCAGTTCTAGTCAGGACTTTTGATGTGGTATTGGACGTATTTTTTTTTATTCCCATCTCCTTCTGGCGTTCCCGAAACCTGCGAATTAACAGAAAATCCTTTGTTCTTCATTTCAATTTTAAATTGTTTTCAGAAAAAATTTTGAAATTGCATTGTCATTTCCCAATGCAACTTCAAATTTTCAATATTTAACAAGTACATAATAAAACTTTTTATGAATATCCAGCTGATTAATTTCATCTGTTTTCATTTACAGCATTGTATATTTGAAAAAAAAAAACCTCTTTTGTCTCTCTCTAGCTTTAGTGCGATCTGCTTCTTTCTTTTCCTCTGTTCTTTTCCTCCATGCTAACTTCTTTCTTTCTCTTTCTTTTTCTTGGTACTCTTTATATTTCTTACTATCTTTCTTTAAATGTTCTCTATACCTGATACGACATATGTTTCAATACACATGTGCATTATATTTCAAATGGAACTTGATTAATTTTCAGTTTTTACACTAACAAGTGTGTAACTGGATTTATTTTCTCAAGCAAGTCATAAATTATGTGTGTACAGTTTACAATATTGTAGAAAAAGATATATGCAGTTAATGAATTTGTACCTTTTAGCTCTCTCTGCATTGGTAGTCTTTTCTTTTAAAGGCTCAATGTTTTTTGATTTTCTCTTTCTTAGACTCTGTATGATTGTAAATTAAAAGAATAATATTTTCAAAATTATATATTATGAATTCATGAAAAAATACTGAACTGCTTTTTATTTAGTTTTTACTTTTTAGAAAAAATAATGTGCAACGTATGTGTCAAAGAATTCCTTCAAGATCATTTGAAAATTGTATTAGACAAAAGAGTCAATGTGTCACATCCAATCAATATAACATGTCAACTTGTAACATCCAATCATGAGATTATTTTTCCTCATATGATATTAAAAATAGATATATTTAGAATCTTATATTTGGTTTAAAGTATATACTTCTGCTAATTACCTTAAAATATAAACAAATACTCCACGTTTCATGATCATATTATCATACTGCGTATAGAAGTTATTATTTGACCAGAAAAGGTGTCAACATGTCATATCCGTTTTTCAATTTCTTGTCAACATGTAACAGCCAAATATTGTTATGTTAATAATGTACGAAGACAGGAAAAAAATGCGACTTCAACAGATAAGCATTGGTAAATATTATATTTTCTTTCTATCTTATTGAAAAAAAAATGTCCATAAAATTTCTACGTAACATAATCGAATCACTGTGCTTCAGTAGTTATGGTTTGACATTGTTATGTGTCAACTTGTCGCATCCGTATATTTTATGTCAGTCAAAATTTAACTGCCGAACACCAAATGACCTCTATGATCGTAATAGTTCTAGAAAAATACTTAAACGTTTGTGTCAAAAAATAACTATTATAGATTTTAACACATTGGAGAACATGGTTTGTCCATTTTATCATTAAATTTTATATGAATCTAATTCAGTAATTAGCGTGACGTCTGTTATCTAGTAAGAAGTCATTGACCGACAATACAAACTCACCCACTTTGCCTCCATTTTACGGATCACGGTCGCTTTTCATGACGTTTACTGCAAATGTGTGGTAAAACTAATAGAAAAACCGAACTGGTTCTATATTCCGCATTGTAAAAGCCATTTTACGACCCAAATTACGGACGTTACGAATTTGACCGACATCTGTGCACCTTTGATAAATGTGCGAAAATTTATTATTTTAATCCTTTTACACAAACGTTATTTAAAAGAATCCGTTGAGTATGCTTTAAAGTTAAAGCTAAATATAAAATATTCGTGTATTTTTAATACAATTACATTAATTTCAATGTTTAAAGTTAACCCATCATGTTGACCGACACTCGTAACGTCCGTTATTCAATTTCAAAGCTATTTTTCTCGGGATAATGATAAGCAAATAATAATTATTTTTATCTAGATTTGTAAGGTAAACATCCATCTTTTAGAATAGTTGTATATAAAAATGTGTTAATTAAAGGTATTTTTAAAAATTGCATTTTTGACACATAGGTTGGAAAATCTCTTATAAGCATGCGCAAAAGTTGGACAATTTTATACAAATTCGGTAATAATAATTTTATTTCTTAAAATAAAAAGATTTAATTGTTTATTGTTTCTCTTTCATATTACAAAATTATAAATACAACTTTATGAATCATAAAAAAATTATATTCTTGTTTATTTCAATTTCAAAAGTGACGGCCGTTATTATTTACAAATAGCTGATCCTTGCCCAAATCAAGTCATTCGTGAAGGTCAAGGGTTAAGAAGCATGCTTAATTGGAGATATCTTGTTCACATAAAATGCACATGTCAAATATTAAAGCCCCATCTCTTTTCAATCAACATATATAACTTACATTTTTTGAAAATTAGGTCAAACTATAAGGACAAGTTCACAAGATCAAAGTCATAGTGCACTTAGAAAGGTTTTGTCATGGATAATACACATGTTTAATATGAAGCCCTATCTCTTCTGAGTCTTCTCATTCAAAAGTTATGGCCAATTTTTAAAAGTGTGTCAAACTTCAAGGTCAAGGTCACGAGGTCAAAAAATCATAATATTTTTAGAAAGGTCTTTTCATGTTTAATATGTAAGACCTATCTATGGCACGCCAAATTCACAAAAATGAGATAAACCTAGTTTCATATTTGATAAACTAGGTTTATCGACTGTAAACTATAGTTTACAAACCGTAAACTATAGTTAACGATTCGTTAAGTATAGTTAACGATTCGTTAAGTATAGTTTTCATCTGTAAAACTATATTTAACGGTTGTTAACTATAGTTTACGAATGATCATCTAAGTTTATCTGTCTGTAATAAGTGTTAACAATAGATTTTGTTGATAAACATAGATTCACGTTTGTAAACTATAGATTACAACCGTAAACTATAGTTAAGAGTTGTTAATCATAGTTTCACAAATCGTGAAACTATATTTATCACATCGTTAACTATAGTTAACGGTTTGTAAACTATAGTTTACAAATCGTGAAACTGTATTTATCAGATAATCTATGTTTTGCTATCGCAAATGATTGTTTTCAGTGTTAAGTATAGTTTACGGTTGTGAAACATAGATTATCGCGTTAACTATTGTTTACGGATGTAAAATATAGATTAACGTTGTTAACTATAGTTTACAGTCCGTAAACTATAGTTTACAACCGATAAACCTAGTTTATCGACTGTGAAACTATGTTTAGCTCATTTTTGTGAATTTGGCGTGCCATAGACCACGGTTAAAAATTAAGTTTTTTGTGGCGGATGGACAGACGGAAAGCGGGGGACAAAAAAACTCACCTTGTAATAGAAAACTTTTCATACAACGATTTTCCTTTCATGCATTGCATTTTTAAATTAATGTTACGGTTAATTTGGTGCCCAATTTTTACAAGTATAGCTAAATGGTTCAATATTCTTGATTTCTATCTACACATCAAAAGAGTTTGATCCTCTGCACACTCCTAAAATCCATGTTATGTGCAGTGAAACAATTTGAAACAATTTGAGACAATTAAATTAAAAAGGTAAAATTGAGATATTTAAGGACATTTGGCATAGGGGTGATGAAAAAAAAATCTCCACAAAATAACATAAAATGAAATAAATAAATAAATAAATAAATAAATGAATGAATGAATGAATGAATGAATGAATGAATGAATGAATGAATGAATCAATGAATCAATCAATCAATCAATCAATCAATCAATCAATCAATAAGCCCTTTGGTCTACTAATTAAGATATTACATAAGATTGAATCAAAATTGAGTTTTAAAGCTTTGAAATGATGTGGTGTGACAAAACTGCTTAGGTCAGGTATACGTAGCATGAAGGGTTAGTAACTTGCCCTCTCTTTTTTCAGACATAACTTTTCTATAGGAAATGTTCCATGAAAGTCTGTTACTTCCCCTTCTCCCCTCCCCAAGACTTTTGGTTGCAGTAAATTGAGGGTAATAAGGTTAATCCAATGTTTGAGAAATTGAGTAAAAAAAATTGGTTTGGAAGAAGTTGGAACCTACTTCGCCCCCCCCCCCCCCCCCAATAAATAAGATTTTCAAATTTTTGGACAATTTTACTTTTTTTTTTGTTTGTCAAGCTTTTTCAGATAAGTTGAATATTTATCCTTGGGTTGAACCCCCACCCCAATCCAACTTTCATGAACGACGCTACGTCACTGTAGGCGATGCAGTGCCTCCCCTCCCCTTTTACAATTTTCTAGATCCACCTGTGATTCGGCACATGCCGCTTACGATCTTGTCGCCCCAAATCCCTGACGCAGGTCATTTGATATCAAGGTGTACGTGTAGAATTTCTTGGGATAAGTGACCCGAACTGTCATTTCATACATATCATGTTTATTTAGAAAAGCACAGGGAAACGGGAACAGTTTGCAATGCGAGTTGTTTCCCCTCTCTACACCGTTGTCCGGAGTTGCGTGTTGAACGCTGTGACGAAATCACAACTAGAACGTGTACGGTTTGTGTCTACCAAAATGCCTAGCGTCTCACCCCCACCGCAGAGCTTGATGAAGCCCATGGATTTTCCTCACAAGCTGTTGATGGGTCCAGGCCCTTCCAACTGTCCACCACGTGTACTAAACGCCCAATCCTTTCCATTATTAGGGCACCTGCACCCCGAATTTACTCAGGTACAGAATTTGCAGGATACTAGTGAAACTCGTATACATTCGTAATAGGTTAATGTATAAATGTAGAAAATGTTGACTGATGTTACATATATGTTATGGATGGCTAGTCTCATAGAAATACGCTTAATAGGGGTGTATACATTAGATAGGTTTATAGGTCGATCAAAGAGGGGTCATCTCAAAATACTGTTATTGCCCAATAATCATGCATCAAAACAGAGGGATAATGCATTTGTATATTATAATTTTTGGATATAATTTCCTAATGCATTTTTTTCATACCTCACATCTAATATTGCATGTGCCAGAAAACAGTGAGCCATTTCTTTAACTTGAGGTCATTTTAGAAATATGTATAATTTCTGCCCTGGATGACCATATACATTGCAAGAATAATAATAATAATAATAATAATAATAATAATTCTTTATTTAAAGAAGGTAACCCGATTAGTGCACGCACTATTCTTCCCCGGGGCCTTCTATAGACAAAATATCAACATACATACATACATACATACATACATACATGTATACATACATACATACATACATACATACATACATACATATAAATATACAAAATCAATAAATAATCATAAGCTATTTCTACATTGTTTTACAAATTTTTTGACTTGATGCTTGAAAGCATTGAGTGTTTGAGACATTCTTATATGTACAGGTAAATTATTCCATAAGATAGCACCAGAGTATTGAAAGGAGTTCTCAAAGAGTTTACATTTATGAGATGGTACACAGAGGTCTAAATTAGATTGCGTGTTTGAATAGGAAGAAACTTTTTAATTCTACGGAGGGCAGAAATTTTACGTGACAGTGTTTTACAAACATGGTCAATGTGTACATTGTATTGTAAAGAATTATCTAAATAAACTCCAAGAATTTTTTCATTTGATACAATATCAAGTTTTCTGTTAGATACAAACAGATTAATTTCATGCTCAGAAAAATTTGATCTCTTTTGATGCGTACCAACTAACATGCATTTAGTTTTTGTAGCATTTAGAACCATTTGATTTTGAGAACACCATTTTTCTATAAAAGCTATATCCGTTGATAATGTATCTACAATAGTTTGAGAATCTTTACTTGATGCATGTAAAGTGGCATCATCTGCAAATAAGTCTAATTTGGATTTTGTAATACATAAGGGAAGATCATTAATGTAAAATAAAAACAGAAGAGGACCTAGAATAGATCCCTGTGGAACTCCCGCTGTGACTTGCTGATAAGATGAATGTTTGTTGGACAGATGTACACTTTGAAGTCTTTCACTTAAATATGATCTGAACCATTGTAAAGTTATTGCATCAAAGTTACAACATTGTAGTTTTTTAAGTAGAATATCATGATTGACAAGGTCAAAAGCTTTACTGAAATCAAGAAAAACAGTACCAACAAGTTTACCTTGGTCCATTTCATTTAACCATTCATCATGTTCATCTGTAATTTTTGTAAGGGCTGTTTGGCATGAATGTAGTTCTCTGAAGCCTGATTGAGAGTCTACTATAAGATCAAAATCCGAAAAAAGAGATCGTATATATTTTGCCACATGTTTTTCAATAACTTTTGATAATGTTTGTAAAATAGAAATAGGCCTATAATTATTTGGATCTAATCTGTTTCCTTTTTTATAGACTGGGGTAACTTTTGCAAGTTTAAAACTATCGGGAAAAATGCCAGTTTTGATACTAGTATTTATAATATGGGTCACAGGTTTATGTATTATTTGTGAAGTAAGTTTCAATAAACGTGGCCCGATGGTATCAACACCTGAAGATTTACTATATCTAGTTTATTGAGTAAAGCTAGTACTTCATCATGATTTATGAGTGGGATAGAAAACTTGTCTACACCCAATTTAGACTGAACAAAATCTAAAAGATCTATCAAGTCATTTTCCTCCTTACTTATGCCTGAAAGGAGTTCTGTAGAAATATTTGAAAAATGAGAATTAAACATTTCTACTATTTCTTGCGTGTCCTCTGTGATATAATTATTTTTAGCAAGTGCAGCTGGAATATAATTATTAGATTTAGAGGCTAAATTGTTTAGTACATCCCACATTTGTTTTGGATTTGTGTTTTGTTCTATAGCTGTTTTGTAATAACTAATCTTGGCGTTTTCAATTAGTGATGAAACTTTATTGCGCCATATTTTGAAATTTTCAAAGTCTTTATTTTTATGGAGGGTATCACGCATGTGTTGAGCTTGCAGAATTTCTTGAGTTAACCATTTAGGTCTTGTGTCATGCTTAACTCTTTTTGTTTTTACTTTTGCATGTTTATCTAATACCGCATTAAAAAGTGAATAAAATTTATTAAGTGCTTCATTAGGGTCAGAGAATAATTCCAATGAATGGAAATTAACCTCCTTTAAGTCTGCAAGAAAATTATGTTCATTAAATCGTTTAAAGTCTCTGACTATGTTATTTCTGTGTGTTTGAGTTTGTTGGTGTTATTATTTAATTTTCTCGTAAAACAAACAGGATAGTGGTCAGATATTGCAATTGACGGTACTGCAGATTCACATATGTTTTCTGGTAGGGTCGTATAAATATGGTCAATAAGAGTTGATGAGGTGTTTGTTATTCGTGTAGGTACATTAATTAGCTGTGTGAAGTCATATTCTTCAAAAGCAGAGGTCCAGTATCTTGGGGGTCTTTAATCAGGTCGATATTAAAGTCACCTGTTAAAATAATTTCAGCATCGTCACAGCGGGATGCACAATTTATCTCCCGTGTTAGACTTTCTACCCAGCAGGTGGTGGCAGATGGGGGCCTATATGTGGTACAACAAAAAAGTGGTTTTGAATTTGGGATATTAATTTCAAGCCATATGGATTCAATATTACCTATTTCAAAATCATTTCGACGCTTGTAATGTAAATTTTTGGAGACATAGACCATTAATCCTCCCCCTGATTTCAGAATGAATTAGAGGCTCATACTCTACATTTATCAACTGAGTAAAAGTCTGAGTTTGAAGACAGAATGCATTTTGTTAGACCCAAGAACCAATTAACTGTTTGCCAGAGGCCGTTAGGCTGAAGGCAGACAGTTAGGTTTGAGGGCATCTTCACTAGCCAAGGGTTTTGGGTCCACTCCGAAAACCCTTGGCTAGCGAAGATGGTTTGAGGGTCGACAAAACACATTTTGCCCGAGGGGATTTAATTTAACATTGTGAGCATTCTCAGAGTATCAATAGTTAATATAATATTCTGAACTTTTTGTCACATGTGCAGCTTTTTCTATATATATAGGGGATTCAAAATATACTGGATTTAAAATATAAATTTTTATGAATTGATTTTTTCAAATGTCTTCCTTCAGATAATGGATGAAGTGAAAGCTGGCATTCAGTATGCATTCCAGACCAAAAATACATGGACTGTTTGTGTTTCAGGAACAGGTAGCTTACAAAAACAAATTAAAACTATATATTATTGATGAATTCAGTTATGTAATGGATATAAAGTAATAAAGATGATGGATGCTTTAATTGTAAATCGTTTTTGATATTACAAAATTACAACTGATTTTGAGGTCAATATATACAATGATTTAGCCACCTGATATAGCCAATATTCACCCAGTCCCAATGGCTTTGCTATAAGCATCAATTCTTTATAAGCATGGTTGCTGTAAGCATGATTCACTGTAAGTTATTTGTTTACAATTAACTTTGGTTTTAAGGCCATGCTGCTATGGAGGCGGCCTGTGCTAACCTTCTGGAGACAGGGGAGACAGCCCTGATCTGTGAGAATGGACTCTGGGGTCAAAGGTTTGCAGACATGTGTACAAGAAATGGTGAGTGACAAAATGATGAGTGAAACACAGCAAATATGAATAGAATGTGGATAGAGTTAATATAAGGAAATGGCAACTTGTCTGTTATCTTAATTAATCACAGTCTATGGAATTTCAGAATGTAGATTTTTATAAAATAATTATAAAGTTGATATGAATATTTTGTTAAACTTTGAAATTTTAGTGTACTGCAAATGTAATTTGTGTGTGGCTAATCTCGCTAATTTTGATTTGTTTAGTACAAGAAATATATTAATAAAAATCTCTTTTTTTATAACTATATAGGAGCTGCTGTTCAGAAAATTATCAAGCCAATGGGACAAGTATTCACACTTCAGGATGTAGAGGCAGTGAGTTAATTATCATGTTTACTAAACAATATGTCATGTATTTTGCATGTGTAGTCTCTAGTGAACAAATATATGAGGTGCACAACAAATGTGGAGAGAGCTGGATGTCCTTCTTTACTCCTATTTATCTTCCTAAGAATACTTAACTAAAGTAATGTAGGATAGGTTATTATGGATCAGACCACCTTAATTATACCCCCGTTCCAAAGGAGAGTGGGGTATACTGTTTTACCCTTGTGTGTCTAGCTGTCTGTGTGTCCGTGTGGCTGTGTGTCCGTCCAAAACAAATTTTTGTCACAGTTTTCTCAGCAACTACTCATCGTAGATGCTTGAAATTTTAACACAATCTTGTCTGAGGCATGCCATATGGTGGGATACATTTTTGTTTAAATCTGATGTCAACTTCCTGTTTGTCTGTGCATCTGTCCATTTCATACATAACAAATTTTCGTCGGAGTTTTCTCAGCAACTACTCATTGTAGATGCTTGAAATTTTAACACAATCTTCTCTGAGGCATGCCATATAGTGGGATACATTTTTGTTTAAATCTGATGTCAACTTCCTGTTTGTCTGTGCATCTGTCCATTTCATACAGAACAAATTTTCGTCGGAGTTTTCTCAGCAACTACTCATTGTAGATGCTTGAAATTTTAACACAATCTTCTCTGAGGCATGCCATATGGTGGGATACATTTTTGCTCAGATCAGATGTCAACTTCCTGTTTGTCTGTGTGTCTGTCCGTTTCATACATAACAAATTTTCGTTGCAGTTTTCTCTGCAACTACTCATTGTAGATGCTTGAAATTTTAACACAATCTTCTCTGAGGCATGCCATATGGTGGGATACATTTTTGTTCAAATCTGATGTCAACTTCCTGTTTGTCTGTGCGTCTGTCCGTTTCATACATAACAAATTTTCGTCACAGTTTTCTCTGCAACTACTCATTGTAGATGCTTGAAATTTTAACACAATCTTCTCTGAGGCATGCCATATGGTGGGATACATTTTTGTTCAAATCTGATGTCAACTTTCTGTTTGTCTGTGTGTCTGTCCGTTTCATACACAACAAATTTTCGTTGCAGTTTTCTCTGCAACTACTCATTGTAGATGCTTGAAATTTTAACACAATCCTTTCTGAGGCATGCCATATGGTGGGATACATTTTTGTTCAAATCTGATGTCAACTTTCTGTTTGTCTGTGTGTCTGTCCGTTTCATATATAACAAATCTTCGTCGCAGTTTTCTCATTAGCTATTCATAGCAGATGCTTGAAATTTTATTACACTCTTTGTTGATGCATGCCAAATGGTGGGATTAATTATTAATTTTGATATGAATCTGATGTCAACTTCATATTTTTCTGTGCATCTGCCTGTAATTGAACTTGTGTATATTAACATGATAGTGCTTATTTACATCAGAGCGAGGGTATTACTAGTAAGCATTGGCTCACAGATTTCTTGTTTACTTTGTAAACTTTGCCATGCAGGGTTTGTCATTATGTATTATATCACCTTAATTTAGTTTGAAAACCTTGCCCTGCAGGGTTTGTCATTGTGAATTATATACTGTTAATCACTTTTTATTCACGAGAACTTTATTTTCGCATAATTATGCGAGACATTGAGCACTTGAAAATTTCATTCTCGCGTATAATACCGGTAGTATTCCTTAAGATTATATAGAGAAATATTAACAATTCGTGAAAATTATGTCTTGCTTATAAAGATTCATTGACTATCTCGCGAAAATAAGGTGTTGCAAAAATCTAGTGATCTACAGTACCACCTTAATTTACTTTGTAAACTATGCCCTGCAGGGTTTGTCATTATGGATTATATACCACCTTAATTTACTTTGAAAACTTTGCCATGCAGGGTTTGTCATTATGGATTATACACTGCCTTAATTTACTTTGTAATCTTTGCCCTGCAAGGTTTTTCATTATGGATCAGACCACCTTAATTTACATTGTAAACTATACCTGCAGGGTCTGCAGCAACACAAGCCGGCGTTGGTGTTTGTGACTCACGGTGAATCTTCAGGGTCAACACTCCAGCCCTTGGAGGGACTGGGGCAGCTCTGTCATAAGTAAATAAGTATTGACATACTTAACAGTATTCAGGTGTAAAGTTTAGTTCTCTTTGCAAACTGATCATCTTTTTTTTTTTTTCAAAATTCCATGTTCTCACAATTATTTACATAGTCTTTATTATCAGCTGGATAAAATCTTAAGGTATGTCACTATGTGAACTTTGTTAAATCAAGGATTTTTTTAGAAGTATATTTTAGATAAGTACTCATATAGTGTGGTTCAAAATCGCAGAAAAAATAGGGGGTCAGTGTGCATCTTACTGATCTACGGTTCAATTTAGTTGACCTTTTTGCACTTAAATTTAAACTCTTTGGTAAATTACTTTAACCTTTGTAATATTTTATCAGATGTAATTATGGCAATAAATACAATTTTATTTTACGTAATATAGTTTGAATAATAATTATCATTGAACAAAACTTGCAAATTAATGCGCGTAAATTATTGTGTGACCTTTTTGCACCAAAAAAGTAACATATTTGGGGTATTAAAAAACTAAATAGGCAATAAAACATTTTCTTAAATCAAGCTTTTTACGACTTTAGTGCTGATCAGTCACAAGTATCAAGTACTTTAAAATAATGAAAGAAAAAGTTTGGATCAGTGATGTTAATTTTGAAATATTGGTCAAAATACTGTAAACCAACTTTTATTCGCGACGACTTTATTTCGCGATTTACCGGGAGCAAAGTAGTTCGCGACGATTAATTTTCACGACCAAGCCTTTTTGGAACTGTTTTTAATAGAAAAAGAGACGGTAAGGACCCATTCACGGCGAGAAATATTCACGATGACGAGGCTCTCGCGAATCTCGCGAAAATTTCTCGCACGCGAATAAAAGTTGGTTTACAGTATGTGATTTTCAGGCCAAAAAAGACAAATTTTATCTTGATTTATTTGACATATCTTCATTTTTTTGGCAAAGTTTGTTGAAGGAAGGTGTAAAACTTGTTCTAAAAATATAAATTAAGACCTATATTAAACATTCCTAGCAATATCGTAACGGAAAATATTCTCTGAGTAAAAGTACGTGAGGCTAAAGTTCCAGGATGTTCAGTTTAATAAATGTGCAGATTTGCAGAATTATCTGCTAAATATCCTTCCACCAGAAGAAATAGTCCCTAATAAATCTTGCTTCTTTGTAGCTTTTTGAGTAGTTTTTTCGTTTAATGTTGAAACATTAACATTGTTGAATATTAAAATATGTTATTAAAATTGCATTTTAATGAGTAGTTTTAAAGTAAGAGGTTCTGCATGAAAAGCTGACGAGTGATCTACCTTAAGTTGAGAACTTTTGTTAGCTTCAACACATGTGGGCATGGTTCACGGTTCTAATTATTGATTAGGGTTAATGATATCAAGATTTGTTTTACTTTAATGTTTCTTTTTCAAAGTGCATACAATTGCCAAAAAAGTATTCAACAGTAACTGAGTTGACATTTCATAGAGATACAGTGTAGATATAACCTTCATGTATATTGATTTCTGACTGGAAATAATAATGTTTATCTACACAGATATAACAGTCTTCTATTGGTGGACTCGGTGGCTGCCTGCGGAGGGGTACCACTTTTTGTTGATGAATGGGGTAAGGTCATATTCATATTTCAATCAAAAACATACCTGTGCATGTATAAAGTCTGGTTTTGCTTAGCACCTTTAATTTTTTAGTTCGTGAACCTGTGCATGTCATATTGTCATTAAGTTTCAGTTCCTGTTCAATGTCTGTTTATGTTTATATTATCCAGCCTAATACTATTAATTTTCTTGCTCTCTGCAGAGATAGATGCTATCTACACCGGTGCTCAGAAAGTGATAAGTGCCCCACCTGGAGTCAGTCCTGTGTCCTTCTCTGACCGGGCCAAGTAAGTCAAAATACACTTAATGGGTCATAGTACGAGGTCAAGCTTCAGTGTATATTATACAATTATGGACTCTTATGGTGTTGAATATGGCTTGTTATTCACCAGAAAAATATTCATATTGACCGAGGCGAAGCCGAGGTCAATATGGATATTTTCCTGGTGAATAACAAACCATATTCAACACCAAAAGAGTCCATAATTGTTTTATTATATAGTCGGGATTTGAATAGATAAGACATTGAAGGCTGTATGACGACACCATTTTCATTTGCGATCTTCCATGTTGAAAAAAAAAAATCTCCAGATTACTGTTTGTAACTTCCGTGTTTTCCTTTCCGACTTTCGCTATGTGTAAGACGTCCAAATGTTAAAAAATAATCCTGAAATAGGTTTGAATAATTGTTTTCCTGCTCAAATACGGACCTTGCTGCGGCCGTTGCAACCATTGTTTACAACGTTGTTCAATGTTTTGATTGTGACGTCACAATGCCGTTGCACGCGCATTGACCCTCCGGTGAATACGGCCTAAAATCCGGTGAATATGTAGTGTTATGAACTGTTTGCGTTTGTATAGATTGTATAGGGAATATAAATAAACTATATAATAAAGACAAATATTGTAACTTTGAGTTATTTAAACCAGTTTTAAGTTGTTATTTTTTAGTAAAATATCATAGGAAAGTAATAAAGTATGATTATGATTTAATTTAGATTAATTTTTATTAATGTTTTGTAGGAGTAAAGCTCATAGGAAATTAATAAATTACATGCATATCAAAGTTATTGAGATAGATTTGATTTTGATTGATGTTTGTAGGAGTAAAGTATTAAACAGGAAGACACCGGTCAGGTCCTACTACTTTGACATGTCCCACCTGGCCAACTACTGGGGGTGTGACGAGGGACCGAGGAGGTAAGGATCCCAGGGGGTCAGCATTTAAATGGGGGTATAAATGTAAGGAAGAATGGAAATAAATCAATCTTCCTAGCCAAATCATTAAATGGTACATGTATATTTTATGCTCAAATGGAAACTTGGCAACTGTCAGTGCACAGTACATGTATAGTGATTTGACATTTTGATTATCATTAGGTATCATCACACAGGTCCTATATCCAGTGTCTACGCCATCCGAGAGGGACTCGCCAGACTAGCAGAGGAGGTTTGCCTCTTACATTAAGCCACTCTTTTGAAAATATTCTTTATCTTTCTTGGGGTTTTAATTTTATCGATAAAAGAATTTGAACCTTGATAGTTCTTACTTTCATTATTAATTTGGACAGGGGTTGGAGAAGAGTTGGGAAACACACAGAAGATGTGCTGAAATGTTGTGGGAGGGTGTGGAGAAACTTGGATTAGAGTTACTGGTCCAAGACAAGGTAAGTAAAGCAGAGCTGAAAATGAAAGTGAAGCATTTTGAATGAAGAATTTAGAGCAAAAAGAATAGGGAAAATGGATCACAATAGTTAAAAGTTCTAGCTTAAAATACAGTTTGCATGTAATTAACAATTTTCATTCAACAATTACATTTAAAATTCCACTTTAATATTGAAAAGAAGTCGGTTCACTTTATGCATAAAATGGCCCTGTAGATATATATATACCAATTAATTGATCAACACTTCATTTTCTATTTGAAGCATTAAAATAAAATAGAGACTTTGTACTTTCATATCCTATTAAAAAATTTCTCCTCAAAGTCCATGTATTGGAGAACTGACTTTATGAAATGGCAATGTTCTTGAAATTTTAGGTAAACAGGTATAATTGAGTACTTTCAGTGAAGAAAAATAATATGAGCGCACCCTCTGATCTAAAAAATAAAACATGTCCATGAATCCTCAGAAACAGTTCTATCATTTACTAGTTGCATATTTTAGATCAGAGGTTGCGCTCTATATCAAATATCAAATAATAACTTTAAAAATTGGCCGTTTTTATAGACTTTTTCTGAATATGAGGAAATTGACGCATTTCGTGACGTCATAATGCATTGACTAGCCAGAAAATGACGTCATTTTTTATAGAATCGCAGTCACCAAAGATCTAAGTGATATTTTAATGCATTGTTAACTAAAACTGTGCAGCTTCAGTTTTTCAGAAATTCACAAGGCCAAATAAGGCAAAAGTGAACCTTGTTCTTTCAAGTGTGAATTTGATCCTATAGATGTTACCATATTCCTGCAGATTATTGTACTGTAAATGACTTTGTTAGTATACTAGATAACAACAATACCTAGAATTCATGAAAAATCTTTCTTATAAACACCAAATACCTACAGTATCTTGCCAAAATAAAGTGTCATAAACAATGCTTCATGATTTACAGTAAACCCATCTTAGAGTTACATTTATTATTATCAATTCTTATGTTTCAGGCCAACAGACTTCCATGTGTGACAGGTATAAAAGTCCCAGAAGGAGTCAACTGGAAAGACGTGTCAGACTACGCTATGAAAACGTAATTAGATTCCTCTATAGAACAGTAGTTATGTTAGCTAGTCATATATTTTCTCAGGTCTAAATTAGTGATTGAAACACATAAATGATATATATCCAATGTTTCATCTGTATAATTTTATTTAAATCTGTTTTTTAAGCATATGCATAACAATTGGCTATATATTGATTTGTAGGTACAAAGTTGAGATATCTGGAGGTCTTGGGGCGCAGGCAGGGAAGATTTGGCGAGTTGGAATTATGGGATACAATGCTACGCCAGACAACGTACAGAAAGTTCTCCGTGCTTTGGACGAAGGAATAAAGAGTGTTCGAGGTAAACCTCAGTCCAGGTTATAGGCAACTAACGGGTAATTAGCTCTGACTGGTCATGTGATACAGTAAGGAGGACCAATAGAAAACTGTCTTAGATCTAATCCTTGATTATTGACAGCCATTTGTAATTAATGTCTTCAAAGATTTTTTTTTTGTATGCAAATTTACTAGGTATTTTTATATAACTACAGTTGTCAAAAAGACAAATTGTAAGTGTAGAAAGAACTCCAGAAGGAGATGGAAATATTTTTAAATGTACTTGTATCTAGATTTTTTTTTTTTACATATATATATATATTGACAATCTATGTACTCGAATGTTTTCCTTTGATTGAAGGATGCCAAAAATTTGATATCATTTACATGTTACTGAAAACATATCAGATTTTGTTATCATTGTGTAATTTGTTGCCTAGTGCTATATGTGTATGAAACATTATATTTATAATTTTATATCCAAGTACATGTAGATGCAAATTCTTTGTTTTTAAGCTGCATTAAATGTTTATTTTTGTGATTATACAATGTTTATTAATATAAAAAACAAATCCTCTAGTTATCAGAGTGATAACTGATTTGGAGGTCAAAGGTTATCATACCAGTGACCTCTGCCCTGTTGAGGTTATCCAATGGTAAGACAGCATTGAATTATGTATACATTGTATTTACTAACATGTTCAGTATTGAATTTATGGCATGTAGTCTTTATAATTTTATTTTTTGTTCCAAAGTGTGTGTTCTTGTCAGTTCAGTTTGATATGTTATTAAGACAATTATCAACACACCTATTTCAAGCAAATCTTTCTTATTCTAAAGGGTTTTAGTTATATATATATTTTTTTCTGAAGGACATGTACAGTTAAGGGGATGAAAGAGAACACAATAAAATTACATGCATTTGTTTTAATGGTTAAATGGAAGCATTTGCTTACAATCCAGAGGATAAACTTTTTTGTCTGCCACTTATCATCATACAGCTCATCATATCTAAAAAAAAAAATTGACAGCTTAATATTAATTTTTTGATTATGATTTGTTTGTAGTAGGTGTCTTTTATAATGACATGAAAACAAAAAGTTTACCATGCTATACAGATGTATAGCTCACCGGAACAGAAGGCTTCTGTGAGCTTTTCTGATCATAATTTGTCTGGCATATGTGGTCGTCTTTGTTGATGTAAACTTTGAACATTTTCTTGTCGTCAAGAACTTATTGTCTTTGTTGTTGTTGTAAACTTGGAACATTTTCTTCTTCTCCAGATCTTATGGGCCAATTTCAACCAAACTTGGCACAGAGTTTCCTTGGGTGAGGGGAATGCAAGTTTATTGAAATGAAGAATCACACTGTCCTCTAAGGGGAGATAATTAATAAAGCTAGAAAAGATGACATTCAGAATTATATTTGTTCCAGGAGGTAGGGTTGGACCGCTATTCATAGATGACCAACATTTTCTATATGAATATATAGGAAATAATCTTTAAAAAATCATGACCCTAGAGGGTAGGGTGGGCCATGAAATGTGATCTGTTAAGTTATACAAAGAATATATATATATATAAAAAACCTGCTGATGATGAACAGAAGGGCCATAATTGCTCGGTGAGCATTGTGACCCATGGGCCTATAGTAAATGCTGATATATCCCTTAACATTTGTATGTGCATGAAAGTGTGAAGATATTGAACATATTATATACAATAGAAATGGTGTAAAGTTGTTGGCATAATCATGTATATCCTGTTTTGTTCATAGTATTATGAATGTTATTTTGAGTTTCTGTAGTAGCGTAGATAGAATTTTGTTATTTAGAAGTCTAAAGTATTTCCCTTTCTCTTTCAGGTTGACTGCCAGATCTGTAGATCAGAACTTTTGACCAATTTTTTCTGTAACATTTTTGTGAATTCTCTGATTATATGATTGCTAATCATTCCAAAGATACATGTGTAAATGTTTTATATAGATTTGTTTTTGATTCTGTTGATGATTCTGAAATCAGGTTATTCAATGATATATATTTATATATAATCAAATAAATAGATTATAGCAGACAAATTGTGGAGTTTCTTTCTGAATACAAGAATTTGTTTAGCTTTGGACTAGATTGATGCTCGGTCATAACAAAGTCAAAGTCAGAAGACATTAAAGTGTAACAAGAATAAAGGAGCGCAACATGGCATTCATAAGATAATTTTGCTAGTGTTATTTTTTGCTTTTAAAGGAAATGTATATTCACATGGTTACTTATTTGGCAATGCTGCAAAAAAAGAGAGCGTCCCTTTTCAGTACACAAAGAGATGCCAAGTCAAGGAGATTTTCACAGATGAGAAAATCTTAAATTGTAATTGATCATTTTTGAGTTGGCTTGCGTAGCAAGCTTACTCCCTGTTGACATAGCCGTTTCAGAGCTGTAAAATTTTTCACGCATTCATCAAGGAGATCCATACGCCAAATATAATAGTTCTAGCAAAAAATGCTTTGGTTTGAGTGATTGTACAAACTTAAGAGGTAAAAACTATATGAACTTTCATACTGTAACATTATTTATGCCTTCATGCTTTTAAAGAAATATCTGTAAGAATGTACAATTACAGCGTATGAATATATGTTCAAGCATGTAAGGCGGATCTAATCTTCCCATCTGAAGTTTATTTATAATTGACCTAGAATACTCCCTAACACAAACACCTGCTGCTCTCATTAGCTACAGCTAGTTGTTGTTGAAAATCTATTTTTAGAATCCAGATTTGCTGTGGTAATCTTTAACCTAATTATTCCATAACACTGACCACTGCAGCTAATGTGCTGAAATTTATTATAGAATCCAGTCAAAATAATACGGAAGCCCATTAGTGCCAACCTGTATATATTAAGGAAAAGCAATATACACTTTATTTATGAACCAAATATGGATCAGACATATAATATTCAATCTCTAAAGATGCAAAATAAACTGAATATATTAAGGTATGGTGCCCAGATGTATGAAAAAGCCCAATTGACTCCAGCAAGTCAACTCGCAGGCCCTTCAGGCCTTTGATTTTTGTTTGCTGTTACTGTTCCTAATCAAGAAATTGATACACTAATTAAAGAGCAAGAGCCACTTACGGCCATTTTTGGCCCTGAGAATTTCTGAAAAATCAAAACTGCTCAGTTAAGGTTGAAAATGCAGTACACTATTGGACTTTTACGGGGAGCACTGACTTTTACAGTTGATTGCTGAATTCCACACAGGGACAATCTACGGAAGCTCTTCTTCAATATAAATATTAAGCTCAACATTTAATTAAAGAAAAATAACAGGTTACTTCAAAGCACAAATGAGAACAAAATTTTGCCTTTGAAGAAAATCACAACCACTCTACTCTCAACTGCCAGCCTTCACATGTTATTGCCCCTAACATGCCTATGACCACAAGAAAGGTTTTCTAATCTATTATCAATTCTGTACCTCCGTACATGATAATGGTTTAAACGTCAAAGTAAAGTACCATCAACTGTAAAAGTCGGTGCTTCTCTTAAAAGTCCATTAATCATTAGGACTGTTGATGACCATGTATCTATTGAACATGATGTAATTTTCCCTCTAGTCAATGCATTATGACGTCATAAATTGCATCCCCCATCCCATATCCTGTAAATTCCTTTGAAAATGGCTTGAAGTTGAAGTGTTTTTTTTTCAATTTTTCATACAGATCACAACCTCTGATCCAAAAAATGCAATTACATAAAGATCTCTAAACAATATTTCAAAATGCTACTCCTCCTACAGTTTTGATTTGATTTCAATATATGTAACTTGGCACACAAGAAGACTTCAGTGAAATAAATAATTCTGTATATCAGTTTAAAAACTTTGATTTTTATGAACAGTGTTGCCAAGTTACTAAAAATAGAAAGGTGAAATTCTTTAAAAAACTACTTCTACAGATTTAGTCTGATTTCAGTCTAACTTGGCACACAAGCAGACTACACTAAGATACATAATGATATACTTGTGTGTCAGTTTTTGTTTTCCATGAACACTCTTGTAATGGTTACCAAAAAAAGAAATTTCTCTGGAATTCCTTGAAACGCTTCTCCTACAGTTCTAAGTCTAATTTCAATGTAACTTGGTACATTAGTAAGGTATTAAGGCTACAAAGGTACATAGTTTGGTGAATCGGTTTTTGTTTTCAAAGAATGTTGTTGCCATGGTTCCTAAAAACAGAATTTTTCAGAAATACTTTTCTTCTTCTCCTACAGTTTTGGTTTGATTTCAATATAACTTGACACAAAAGTAGACTACTTTTAGATACATAAATTTATTTATTGCTGCCTGTTGCAAATTTTTAAATCCAAGTTATATGTACAGTCCAGTAGAGCTACAGTCTCACCAGAGACTTCTGTTTTGAATAACATGATGGCTTATCCTTACTCTCATCATAGTAATGAGTCTTTTGCAGCTAAAATGGTAACTTTGTCAATCAACTTTGGGCATTGAAATTCTCTCAATATAATTAAAATTAGCATACTTAAAAGCAAAGGAGTCATAGGCTTATGAGCATGATCCTATTCAAAATTTTCCCTACACTTCCAACAAGCTGACATCTTTTAACAACTACAGTAGTAATTGTTATCTAGAATAAAATTCCTCATGCAAGGGCGATTAAGTTGTCCAGTTGTATCATTAAACCCCTTCCAAGGATGAATAGCATTAAGATTGTGACCACATACATTATGTATGTCTTTTCTGAAACCTCTTTAGATAGCTTCCTTTTGTTTAAATTCCTAATAACAAAAGTCTGTCAAATGTATGCACACTTTATTCATTGCTCTGCTGTGAAGAAATAAAAAGATTAAAAGTGAAGATAATAGCTGTACAAAACACAATGATAAAAGAGATAGCAAAAAGTCAACATCAAAAACAAAAGCAAACTTTGCTGCAAAAAGATTAAAAAAAAGATTCTAAAAAGAAATTAAAAAAAAAGAGAGACTGGACGAAATGAAGTGACTAAGTTAAACTCTGACTCTTTCTTGAGCCAATCACAATCGGTTCATTGCCTTAATTTGTGTAAACATAAAAAAAAGGAAACTTCCTCAGTTTATCACAGAAATACACAATTTAAAAACTAATAAGCTTTCAACCTCTTGAATCAAGATAAAGAAAAATCATATAATAAATCACAACAAATACAAAACAATAGATGTTAAAGTAGAATTACTTTTCCAGTGATTATTCTATCGTTACCATTATAGTAACTTTCTGTGCTGGGAACAAAGCCAAACATCTATTACAATATTGTAATATCATTAACTATATATCTACAAGTAACATCAAATAAATAATATAGCTAAAATACAGCATCTCTTTGCTCTTAGAAACAAGAGACCTCAGTCATTTACGTGGATTTCTAGTTCCATATAGCCGATACAAAAAACAGGGATCACTTTCTTCTCAAACCGAATCACTTGGATCACTGATTGGCGAAATTTTTCCTAGATTTATCAAATTTTAGACGTATTAATCCAAACTCCCCCGGGCCAGCACCTTCACGAAACAGATCCCTGCTTTTATCAGCGTATGTTCAATGGACGGATTTCATAATAAAAATAGCCAATCCATAAAAAGGAAATTGGTAATTATATCACAGCATTGACTTCATGATTAATTAACAAACTAATTAACAAACAGATAGAAACTACAATATAACATAATACTGATGGATATATATATTCCTAAAGACACACAACATAAAAAAAATTAAACTCTTCATTTCCATTTCAAACCTTTTCCCTTTCCAATTTTCACAATGACACTCAGATGCTATGATTATTACAGTGAAGCATCATAACTACTGGTTAAAAGTGACAACAAAATATATAAAACCTAAATATAAATCTAGCTAATCATTTGATTTTATTTCTGTCACATGACCGCTGCCATAGCTCTCAATAATATGCTGTTAAATGCTGGAATGTGTCTTTTTCTCAAATGGAATGAAAGATTCACACTAACTTATAGTCATCAAAATCACTTTCTTTCCCACATGTAAAAAATCCATTCTTGCATAGATTTTAAGCAAGATGTAGCAAAAATAAATAAATTTCTTTCTATATAAATGATAATTGATTAAAAGGCAGCTATTTCTGGAGTTTCTTTCGGAGAGACAGTGGACTCATACTACGACGTACGGTGGGGGTGGAAGTCAGCCCGCCAAATCTTCTGCTGAAATCTCGACCCGGACTCGGTCGTCGCCTGGGGGCGGACTGGGACGGATAACTGCGTTCGAAGTTCATGGAATCGTCTAACTTCCTGGTTTCGGTTTCCAGCAGCAGCGGATCCAAGGACTGATCGCGCATGACGTTGGTCAGAGAACTGTCCAGGATGCCGCGAGTGTCCCGGATTTCGTCGCCCACACGTGCGCTTCTGGAGATATACTGCTGCCTCTTCCTCATCTCGGTGGCAAGCTGATCTTTCAATGTGGCAACCTGAAATGTTAACAGTTACAAATTCAGAAATCACATGATTTATAGAAAGACTTCTTAATCTAAAAGCACATTTAAAAAGTACTGAACAAAAAGTGGAACATTATGACAGAAAAATGAAAAGTAAACAATATTTTATTCTGTCTAATAGAGTAAATTAAGTACCGTTTCTTCCAGTCCCTTGACCTTGGCTCTGTGAGCACGCTCGCGAGTTTCAAGCATTCTCTCAGCTTGGATCTGAGCTGATCTCAGTCTCTCTGTCTCCATCTCAGTCTCGGCTCGGTGTCTGGTGGTCAGATCAATCAACCTGGAAAAGTTCAGACCGTGAAATCACTTGTTCCACTCATAAAGACATAAACTTATATCAATCAAGCTGACTACCTGATAGTTTAAATGCATTTGAGTGTCATTCTCAAAAATTTTTAGGTTGATCTGTATATTTTCAAAAACTGTTTAAAAACAATCAAATTTACTGCTAAGATGATTT